TAAATCCATTGGGTGTCCTTGTTGGTCTTCAGACAACAATTCTGACGGCTAAAGAACCAACAGGCAAAAAATAAATAAATAAATACATTTGTTTGTTTTGTTAATGTTTTCCAGGGGCCAGTTGCACCAGCAGTGTTGTGAAGAATGGACACTTGTCAGTGAAGAAACGCAGGCCAAGATGGCGCGCATGGCTGCTGCTGCTGCCTGGGGTCTAGGTAATCGCTCAAATACTTAATATGAGACTGCAAATATTCATTCAAAATAGTCAATGGGGTGAAAATGTGAAAATATATATATATATATGTATATTTAGCAGTCAGGGTACAGAAAATACCATCACTGGGCACTTAAGCCACTGTCTGCCTGACTCAGTGAAACAATGCAGCAGTGAAAACAGTACCAGCTCTTGCCAAGTCCTGCTCGCATAACCAGATGGGAATAGTATCCAGTCACAACATTGACATATCGTAATGTGCAATGGTGGAGAAAAGCAGGGAACACACTGCTAAAGCAACCCCAGAGGTTTCTGGTCTGTTGCTTTGACTTTCCTAACTAAGTGGTAAAACCAGATGTGACACCCAACTGGCAGGCTTGTCTTTCTGAAGATGATGTTGAAAAACATAATATTGAGGTTATTGTTATTTACGCTGCGGTGGAGCGTTGATCAAAGTAGCTGTGACTGCACACTAAGTAATATGTAGATACCACATTTAAATATTTACTCATTATGACAATGAGTAAATAACTCCTGTCTTGCGTAACTCCTGTCTTTGTTCTTTTTTTTTTTGTGGCGTTATTGTTGTCCAGGACACTGGGACAGCATGGAAGAGTACACATGTATGATCCCTAGAGACACGCACGATGGGGCTTTTTATAGAGCAGTGCTAGCCCTTCATCAGGACCTCTTCTCATTGGCCCAACAGGTGGGTTAAGTCATCATTCACAAATGGGCCCGGCTCATACAAATACACTACAGTGTGTATTTTTAGATACACTCTCATAAAGACATGCTTCACTTGAAATTACCCCGTCTTATGTCGTCTGGAATTTTCCCTAGTCTTTATAGCAAAGCATGAGACGTTCAAATCACCAAAAACCAAACATTGTAAAGAAACATAAAATTGTTTTACAGCTCCAAAAGGGATCAAATTCCTCCCATCAGCTGCGGCTGTTCATTAAACTAGTAAAATACACAAGGTTTGGGTATTTTCTTTTCTTTTATGATGTGGTACCTCCTTGGTGTGGAAATGTTATGTAACTCCCCAAATTGGAAATCATTACGGCATTTATCCTCAAACAAATAAAGAGCCTATTAGTCCTCCTGTCTGCATGTTGACAAGGTCTGGTGGAGGTCAGGTGGGTTGTGTTTTCCTCATCTGATCGCGTTTGAGGATTGTAGATGAGTTCATGGTCCCTGGAGATGCATTTGTTCAAACTGGATGGAGGAACGTCTCACGCACACATGCCTCACCTGCTTCTTCAGCTACCTTCCACTCATCCTCCGTGTCCCCTTCTCACCATCAAAAGCCCTGGAGACTTGCTTCCTCTGACCTCTCTTTCCCTTCACAGCCCTCCCACACCACACACAATTTAGAGATTGGGTCCAGGTGTGGCCCACAGGATTCTTCAGAATAAGGGAAGTTTCGACTTTTTGCTGACAAGAAGCCACTCACAATGAAAGAGGAGGAATGAGAAGCAGATGGAGAGAGGGAGTAAGCTCGAACATCGACATGAGCTCAGTCTAGTTTTCCGGATGCCGTTGGTAATCCTCGCACTTGAGAGGCTGGCTGACGCTTTCTTTCCTCTATACCCCCAACAACCAGACATGTGCTCCGTGAGACTTGGATGGCATCTGTGTGAATGGTTTCAGGTTGCTTTGCTTTATAAAGCCCACTGTTTGGTCTGTTGAACTGATGATGTGTAGACACTAGTCATGCTCCTTGCACAAGATTTATGATACGTCTGCTCTCTGAATGCGTTTGATTTGTACATTTTCTTGTGGGTTTTGCAAGTCACATCCCTCTTTTTGACATCTCAGTTTTGTTTCAAGGCCTAGTTATGTTTTTTGTTTGTTTTTTCTTCTGCAGTGGCTGATTTGGGCCTAAACAGTCATACACAGGCTGTTATACTAAACTGCAATCATAAGCTAATATCACTGAACTTAAACCGTAAATGCAACCTTGTCGTAAAAGAACAGAATCATTGGGTGATGGTTGGTTGTGCTGCCAGGAGCCAGACACTGCATTTATCAGGAGTCGTCTGGACTGCACATTTCCAATGAGGCCCCAGCGTGGTAATTCAGGAGTAAACAGGACCATAACAGAGTGAAGACTATAAAGAAGCAGCCTCATTGTCACCTCATCCCCACCACCATCTTGTTGTGCGTGCCTGAGGAGTTGTTTTGGCATGCAGTTGCTCCTTTCCCTCCCCACAAAAAATAATTGGTGGGAGTTGGTCTGAAACAGCTGTGTGTCCTGGTCTTAGACGCTTCCTCAGTAATCCTCTCATTTTACCTTCCCTCTAATAACAGTTCCCAAAAACATTGACTGTACAAGCTCAAAAGTCAGCAGACTTCCAGCTAGAATACGTGTGTCCTTGTTTGTCCCTTTAACTACTCTGGATCAGGTCTTTGTCTCATTTACGGTATTTCTGCCCCTCGGGGTACGCATTCACCGGAAATGGAATGTTTGCAGCATCCTTGAATTTGGAGAAGTCTCACAGGGAAAGTTGGAGACTTGCTGAGTGTGTGATACACTCCAAAACTCCAAATGCAGTGGAGGAGGGAGGAGAGTGAATGGAAAAGAAAAGGTTTTTGTATTCTGTTCATAGCAGGAACCTTGACTAAGAGCTTCCATTGTGAGTTCTTTGTCAGCCTGCATTTACCCTCTCTTTTTCTGTAGTTGTGTAAAAATTGACGTTATTTTTAAGACACATTTGACAGCTTTAAGCGTGGTTACATAACTTTTGTACTGTTGCTCTCAACAGTTCATTTACTTGTCCTTATAAAATGTTTGGCACTCAGCAGTGCTTCAGATCATTTTCCTATACAAGCAGGCATTCTAGTCCTAATTGCATTAATGTGTCACTGTTGGCAGCTCTTAAGTAAGAAAGGTTTGAACCGGAGGCTGTAGCATGACTTTGTGCTTTTATACCAAGTGTTTTTATTTCCTAGTGTTACCCAAACCTAGGCAGTCCTGACGCAGGGAGTTTTTAGGAGAGTGTGACATTGTGCTATGGTACATTCAGGGGCCAAGCTTGAGGAAATGCCCTCTGCAACCAGTAGTATCAGTGGTGTATTTAGAGAGAATTCAAGTCCTCGTTTGCTAACTAATAGTTGGAGTATTCAGGAAAGTTTTTTGAAAAGAGGGGGGGGGGGGGGGGGAAATGTAGCATATTTACATTTATGTGTGGTGATAAACTATGGATGTTTCAAATGTAACACTATACTTTGAATGTGCTTTTAATGCAGTGCATTGACAAAGCAAGAGACCTCCTGGATGCCGAGCTGACTGCCATGGCGGGAGAGAGCTACAGTCGAGCCTACGGGGTAAATGTTACCATTTTTTTCATAGCATTCATATGCAGTGAGCTTGCGTAACAGCTATAAAATTGAATTTTCATTTGACTTCCAAGTTTCAAACCCTAAATGTCATGCCACAGCTGTGTCTGTTTTATTGTGTATCTAAATGGTGTTATCCAAACATATTAACAGCGGAAACTAGAAAACAGCTGTTAATATGAAATCTGATCATAGTAGATTTTGATCCATAGTGCAGCAGTAACATGGTAGATATGGGGGAAAAAAACAAACTATTGATATCGGTATAACCAATGTTTACTGAAGCTGCACAGTTGGGTCCAGTGGGTTAATGAATGCATTTGTTTGCAATTTCTGATCATTTTAAAAGCTGTTATGGTCTTTTAATGATTCACAGAAGCTCCATCTTAGCAATGTAACTGCTATAATCAACTGTTATACTCAGTATCTGTGTAAGAATAAATGAGTATGTTTTTTTTCTTTCTCAGGCCATGGTGTCTTGCCAGATGTTGTCAGAACTAGAGGAGGTAATCCAGTATAAGCTGGTGCCAGAGAGAAGGGAAATCATCAGGGAAACATGGTGGGAGAGGCTTCAGGTAATAGCACACGATATGTGGACACAAACACACACAATATTATTTTATGATGTTTATTTAATAAATATGATACTGTAGCGCAGTGCCTACTCTGTAGTATTCCAGTTCCAAATGCCCAGTGAATGCACCACATCACCCATCCATTCACATGTCACCCCCGGCCTGTGGAAGTTGACGTAAACTGTCTGCCTTCTACTTTTTAATTGACGTAGTCTCGCCCTGGGTCAACACACTTGAAATCAATGATTAGTTCATTACCAGCCTCTGGAGATCTTCAAGACATGTTGAGGAGGTAATTTAGCCATTTGAATCAGCTGTGTTGCATCAAGGATACATCTAAAACCTGTACGACACGGGCACTCGAGGCCTGTGTTGCCTACCCGTGCCCTAAAAGAACAATTCCCAGATATAAGTCGTATATTTTTTTAGAGTAAATTAACCTCCTCAAACATGTGCACAGACTAATAAAGAAAAGAAGATTAATTTTGATCATATAGTGGCTTTGCGTACCATTAGTGTCATGAAAAAAAAAAGGTTTATTTTCAGAATGAAAAGGTTGGCTCGTTTGATGTAATCCACACTGTAAACTCCTCATTTGACTGATTATATCATTATTAATTGTGAATTTCAGTGTTGTATATGTTGTTAAATGAAATAGAAGGATGTTTGGAACAACCTTGACTCCACAAGCGGTTGGGAAATATTTACAGCCTGCCAAGTCTTTGGTATTTGAGCCGAATGTCATCCAGTGTAAAATAATGAAGTTCAAGTACATCTTTTCCATTTTGCGTGACATCTTAATTAACTGTGTTTCGCCCTTTTATGTGCACGCTGAGGGGAGGAATATTAAGTCAGAGAGAAAGACTGTTAAAATTTTGATCTGTGATGCACCATTCCTCACACTTTAAATCATATCACTCTAGTTGTTCTAATGCAGGATTAATTATATGGCTTAAGATCAGCCCTTTTTGGAGTTCCTGCTTCTATTCTCCTGCTCAGATGTTACGGACACTGCTCTGGAAAATTTTCGGAATTGAAATGCAAAAACCTGTGTCATCCTTCACCTTTACCACGTGCCAGGAACCGTGTACTCATCTGAAGGCACTGTGTCCCTGCCCAGATTTTTTTAGTATGTTGTTTTTTAGTTCTTTTTGGACAGTCTGACGTGGAAATGCCAGCGCACTTAATGCAATTGGATCACTTTCCTCCCACTCCAGAAGGTCACAGTGGTGTCCCGAGATACAACAAAGGACACTGGCTTTTATTGGACAAAAACAAAAACCGATATACGTTGAGTGTCTGAACAATATGGGTGATATGTGATTTTTGGATTGTTGTATTTTTAATACTTTTTCACCAAAGTATCAGATCCACAGACAGTATAAAAGCTGCTATCGTCACACACTGGTTCTGGACTCTGCATTTTTTTGGGGGGGTGGGATTTAGAGCTAGAAGTTATCCTATATGGGGGAAAAAAATTAGTTATCGGCTACTTGTAGCAAGTTTGATTATCCAGCTACATTCATTAACTGTATTGGTTCAAGACACAAGTGCAAATGCTAGTTAATCTGTGCTATATAAAAAAAAAAAGACAGACTAATAAAACATTAGTGTTTCATTCACCAAAACTGAAGCACAAATGTGCTGAATCACAGCCAGTTTGTCTGTATCACCGTAGTTAATCCATTAAAGTTGCTGAAAAAGGCAACCAGCAGCACACACAAACAGTGAAGAGGTGCAAGTTAATGACATGAAGAAATAGAAGCGAGGCCTAACATACAGCAGTTGTCTTTAGCACAGCAATGCGTTTAACTCAGTTATCCAGGTTATAAGAAAAAAACAAAAACAAACAGACCCCACTCACAGTGGGTTTCTGGACAGAGGTTGAAACTGTCTTTGTACCACGCTGTGAATATGCTTCTGAATGTTCTAAATGTGTCAATTTTAATGTTGAAGTCTCTGGAGATTGACTCTCTGTTGGAGCAGCCTCAACTGGGAAGTAGAGTAACAGCAGTTTCCTCTACTTCCAGTTGGCTTTATGTTTCGGAGATTTCCCCCCTCGATTACAGAACACTTGTGACTCTTTTTCTACTCAACGTTGCACACGAGTTTATAAAATAATATTTCCCAGTCATCTTACCTTGTGTTGGGGATCAAACTGTGTATTTGTCATTTGACACAGTCCACACATCTGTCCATGAGTTAGTGTCCTGCTGTTAAGTGCTTTTTCCCTTAAACAGCTTATCCCTCATCAAAGTTTTGCAGGTATGGTAAAGGTGCAAGAAAACACAGCCCCCTGATGTTTGTTCATCGGTGTATCAGATTGATTTCTTGCACTTCTGTCCATTTAAACCCCAGTTTCAGTCACGAACTAAGGCCAAGTGTCTGTTAAAGGATCAGTCCTTTCCCCCCCCCCTTTTTTGTGTTCTGTTTCTCAAACAAATGCAAGTCGTGAAACATTTTAATATTCGTCTAAGAAAGAGGATTTCAGGACTTTTGTGTATTTCTCTGTACTTCTGTTCACATATTTTAAAACAGCTCACCCCTCCAGTCTTTGTAGGGGATATTTTTAAGCCTTTTTCCTACTCGTTTATATAACAGATTCTTTTGGCAAATTCTGGCAGATTGCCTCTCAATAAAAGCTCTTTGTTGTTTACTTGCGTTCTTCAGCTGTTTCAGCTCACAGTTCATTTTCAATCAAAACCATAGTATTTTAAAACATATTGGAAATTTTTATTCTGTTTAATTAAATGAAATGGGTTTATTCTTGTGTCTCGAAGGACAGCTACATCACTGCAGTGATGTCGTTTAAGACCATCTGTCCACCATGATGCACATTCAGGTGTATTTGTTCCCTTCAGTCAACGTGGATGAATTGGATAATGTGGCTTCATACCTCATAAGCACAATGCCAATGATTTCTTGTGGTTTAATCCAAACTAAACTGTGTTAGCTATTATAGTTACTGAATAATAGTGAAGTCATTGAAGCATACATCTCCCTCACGTGTGTTTGTTCTCTCAAGGTTCACTAGTAGGCATCTCTCTCTCTGAACAATGTAACGTAACAACAATATGTGTTTTCCTTCAGGGCTGTCAGCGCATTGTAGAGGATTGGCAGAGGATCCTAATGGTCAGATCTCTGGTCATCAGCCCCCATGAAGACATGAGGACCTGGTTGAAATATGCCAGTCTTTGTGGCAAGAGCGGACGCCTGGTGAGTACAGTGACATGTTTGTACAAGGGAAGGGATTCTACAGATGAATTCTAGTCACACAGCACTCAGAACAAAATCAGAGCTGATTCTGATCAGTTTTTCCAGGAAGAAAAAAGGAAGGTCATTTCTAACAAAGTAAAGTGCACTATGAACTCCTGAAATGAAATGATATTTCATTTGAAATGTTTTTAGCTGGCACTGATGAAAGTAGAACAGCTGCACACCTTCAATCAGCACTGTTTAGAAACCTGATCGTTCATATCTTCTCTATTAAATTTGTGCAATTTTCTGTCCTTGACCTCAACGTTTTTATAATTGATGGTAGATTTTTCCATATCTGCTCTTATTATATTTAAGTGCACACAAAAGATAGCAGGATCTCAAATAACTCACTGTAACATTAAAAGTAGACGAGAACGGCCATCTTAATGTCTTAATCTGTCTTCCTCTTTTCTGAAAACCTGTTTTCAACTAAAGACAAATACAGGTTGATGTTTCTGTAGTTTTGCAAGTCCCTAAAAGTCGGGGGTAATATCTGTGATTTCATCTTCCAAATTCTTTTTGAACTGTGAGTCTTCTGACTCGGGTACTTTTTCTTGGCTACTTTCTCCCTCTAGGCACTGGCCCATAAGACCCTGGTCCTCCTCCTAGGTGTTGACCCCTCCAAGCAACTTGATCACCCATTGCCTACAACCCACCCTCACGTTACCTATGCTTACATGAAGTACATGTGGAAGAGTGGCCGCAAGGTAGGACCATCAACAATGTTTTTGTAGGTTCAAAATGAATGTTTCCTAAATGACTAGAGATCTAATGATCACTCTTGTATGCGTGTTTTGAGAATAAATGAAATAATCATCAAAGTTTTGTGGAGGCTAGAAAGGGAGTGCTTATATTAGTCACCATACAGTAATTTCATAAACAGCCGATTTATTCTTTTGAAAGGTTTAAATGAGCCAGAAATAACATAAATAATGTGAAAAATGTTAATTGCTTGTTTGTTTATTGCTGGATATGTAATTCTGACAGAAGACTCACCATTTTAAATTAATACATGATGAGACATCAGTGCTTGTGTCTGCTGCCCACAAGTTTAAACAATGTAGTGAGCACTGGTTCTTACATTAATTGGCATGTATCACTAATAGTCAGTGCAGGCAGTCAGTGACAGCCAGAGGAAAAATCTGTTATGCAATCTTGTCTTCAGATACGTCTGTAAATCTTTCCTCAACAGGCTCCATAATTATAATCACGGGTATGAGGTAGGGGATTTTTTTTCCTGAAATACAATTTGGAAGAGCATTTTGGGGGATTGAAAAAAAAGCCATTGTTAACATATTTGCAATACAATATTGTTCAATCGCGAATGAAGTTTTATTCAGTTTTTACTTAATTTGGGCTTCCAGCAGCAACTGTGGATGGAAATATATAATTTTGCAGAGTGCTGTGATACGTGGCAGATTTGACAGAATTACAATATTTCAGAAAATGGAAAATATTAAAGAGTTTGATTGGATTGGCCTTAATAATTACAGTTCCTGTAGCGAGTGACTAATGGAGCTCAGTCTCATATAATTTTTAAAGAGCAGAGCCTCTGAATTGATCAGTAAAACAACCCAGCTGTTACATTTACATGAATGTTGTTATTAATCTTAAATATCCATGGCAACAATGGAAAAAGTGCCAATAAATGTTAGTACTTCTTCAGAAACACTTGTTCTTTCTGTGTTCCAGCATTCAGCACAGTAACACAGGTTAAACTGCCAACTACTGGCGGCAGTGACTCAAGGTTTCAATGTGTGTGTCACCCGAGCAGCATGGGATTGAACTGCCCTGCCCTGTGCCATTTTACACACGCAAGCACACTTGCACCCATTCGCAAACAGTATACACCCCCCCAAACGCACTTAAACATGTCCAGATTTATTTCTAGGTGTTAAATAGCATATGTGGCTCCAGGCTGCATTCTCATTAGGGGACTTAGGTAAGTGTGAGTGTGAGCATGAGCACTGCTGTTGCCAGGACCAGCTGCTCTGCTCAACTGACAAATAATATAAAAACAGAGAGCAAGAGCAGGGGCAGGACCCTACTGCTTCTGGGTTTTGTTCAGGGACATTAGCCCTGTCACTGATGACTGAATCACACAGTAGTAAGGCATCTACCAGTAATAGTCAAATTAGCATTAAAGGCAATGCTTTTGGAAATGATTCATATATATATTCATATATATGCATTCATGCAGATGATCAGGTGAAAAAGATGCAGATTACTGGTCAGCATTGCAAATCTGGGGATGATGAATAGTGTATAGGACACTTTTCTTTGCTTTAAGATCACGTCATAGAGGTCTTAACCAGCTTGACTAACAAAAACCTTGACTGCAGAGGTGTGCTAGCAAAACAGAGTAGCAGGCTTTCCCCTGTAGAACCAACAGTAAGCCCACCGACACTGATATGTTCAGAAAACAGTGTTTGCTGTTGGTTTCGTGAATGCACGAATTAAAAAAGTGATCAGCGTTGATAAAACACTCACAAACCTGTCAAACCAGAAATAAGAAACTCATCATAAATGTGCAGTTTGTGTAGTTTGACTTAACTGATTTCATTAGGATGCAAACCGTACACAAATATATTTTAAAGTCATGCTAAAGTTTATTTGCTATTGCTATTTGCATCTCTCCAGATCGACGCTTTCCAGCACATGCAGCATTTTGTGCAAGGAGTGCAACAGCAAGCTCAACACGCCGTTGCAGCTGAGGACCATCAGCGGAAGCAGGAGCTCTATAAGCTGATGGCCAGGTCTGACCTTTTTCTTTAAAGATGGAAAAATAGAAGTGGACTTTCAGAACTGCAATGTTGTAGCTTTAGTTTTAAAGAAATCATTTAAGAAGCTGAGAATGTATTCCCCTTTGCCAGTCTCTGTATACCCACTCTGGCATGGCAGAGAAAACCCAAAGCAACATGCTGAGGCAAGGAAAAAGTAACCTCATGTATTTCCTCCCTCATGCTCTAAACACGTAAGGTCATGTCCAGTGCAGTTTTATTTCCACGAGCGTGACCCATACTGGCATAGCACCTTTTACAAATCCACTGGCATCCTGTGTGATTTTAGTTTTTTCTGTTCTTCCAAGGCTCAAAGCTTTCAATAAACAAATCCTTTTGGCAGGAAATGTGGCACCATGCTGATGGGTATCACCACCACAGTGCTGTTAGTTTGCACCTTTTCCAGTAGGCGCTGTGCTGTTCATTTGATAGTCCTGGCACCTTTACCCTATCATCACCTCACCTCACAGTGGAAGAAAGATGCAGTCAAGTCTTTTGAAAACTCGATATTCCAGTAGCTGTTGTGTGGTTTTAGATTGTGATTTGATTTTTTTTTTTTTTGGCTGAGAAAATGGAAGGTTTCATGTTCCCAAAAAGGACTGGGAAAGACTTCAGACTGTTAAAAAAGATGCACGCTCTTGTGGGCTCATCAAAATATTTGAGAAAGATATCCAAGACTTCCTTCTTTTATGGTTTAGCTGCTTTTCTTTGTGCAGAAGAGACTGATTACTTTTTAAAGAATTTGGATGTGCTGCATTGTCTCTCAAATAAGTCAAAATAAGCAAGAGGTGTTGCATGGGAACAGGTATAATCCCATGTACAGTAAATCACACAGTGTCATTTGGCCATGTGCACAGAGCAGTCATGTGTACCCTCCCATCTCATAAATCAAACGTGACAACACATAAGTGTGAACGTGGGTAGAAGGGGCTTTTTCCACTCACTTTTGCATCTTCCACAGAATGGTTGTGTAAAAAAAAAATAAAATGCATGACAGGGAAAAACACCTGTACGCTGTCAGTCAGGACGGGTTCTCTCTAGATATTCTGACACACTTTCTTTAATACAGCCTGACTACATGGTATGGAGAACACCTGGACTGCTCAGACACTCACATATACACAGTCATACAGACACTTCCACCCCCAAACTATCCTGTATAATTCCACTGATACTAATCAATAACTCTGGGGTCTGCTGCCGGAAGAAACATGTTCCAATGTCACCAGATGCCTCGTCCTAACTCCTTCCTTCAGTAAAAGTTGAACCTGTCAACAGTTTACGGACACAGTTCCGCACAGATGCTGAACTTGAGCTGTACATCTGCATGGAAAAGCACTCGTACGAAATTACGTAATCCAAAAGGCAATTTATTGGAGGGGCTCTGACATATCCACAGTACTGATAGATGGTTTGACAAAGCAGTGCTTGCCAGTTTCTCAGTTTAGAGTAGTTTTATCTGAATTATGTGTCTTGGCCCTGCCAAGCACAACTAGTTTGACTTTTGCCTGTAAGCATCTGTGTTTTTTTGGATGATGGATTGAGCAAAGTCCTCCTGGGATGCCACAAAGCTCACCGTTGGGTTAAATTAGGGGAAAATTGGTTTGGATAATTGAAAATCTCCAGCCTTTCAGTAGATAAATGAACTGTTGCCTCACGTATTACTACTTTTGATATATGCCTATGAGACTTCCAAGCTGTGCATCATTATCGGACCTTTTTATATAAACTGCCCTTGGATTTCCTGAATGTGACTGCCAAGTCTTTATAAGCAATGACAACATAAGCATGCTTATAAACTCATGAAGATATTTCTTTTTGGCTTGTCCCTGGAGTACATTTGTTTCCTTGTCACTAATGTAGTCACTGAATTATCTTCTTCTGCAGAGCTTCTCTTAATGGCGCTGATCTTTATTACCTTCTCATGGTCTAAAAGAGGTTTAAATTCTTAATGCCAGAAATATCAAGGGCTTAAATCTGACTTATAATTTATGGTGCACCAAATAACTTCTTTCTGCCAGTCAAAATGGTATATTTACATGTGATTTAAGTACTAATGTTAGAGTGAATTTCCCTCTTCTCTTTCTCCATTTAGATGTTTCTTGAAGCTCGGGGAGTGGCAGCTCAGTCTGCAGGGCATCAATGAGAGCACCATCCCCAAAGTTCTGCAGTATTACAGCAATTCAACTGAGCATGACCGCAACTGGTACAAGGTCAGCTCCTCTCTTTTAACTCTGACCTTTAACATTTAACTTCTCTCTCTGGCTGCAATAAAATCCCAGCTGTGTCAGTAAGTAAACGTCTCAGCCCTGTTATGCCACTACGAAAACCTTAGACCTCCATTCCTGCGCCCTTATTGTTTTGCTCAGTAGATACTCTCCAATTGTTTTCTGCGCTCCATCACATCAAAGATATGTGGTGATGGAAGAGCTGAAAGCATCTCTGCTTTTTCTGCCTGTGCTGCAGGCTACAGAGACGTCTCTACAGACTCTCTCCCATCCATCTTCACCAACTCGCTTCAGCTTCAACCTTTAATAGCAGGTTGCATAACAGTGCAAACATCAAACTCATATGTTTGTATGAGAGAAATTACAGCGCCCTGGGAGATATCTGTCCCATGGCAAACTGGAAAATGACATCATGAACAAACGTGGAAGTTATTTCCAGTTAATAGCTCCGAACACCAGTTTCACTCAGTTTGAACCATCTTTCGGCAGGCTTGGCACGCCTGGGCTGTGATGAATTTTGAGGCAGTGCTGCACTACAAACACCAAAACCAAGGGCGAGATGAAAAGAAGAAGCTGCGGCACGCCAGTGGTGCCAGTGCTAATAGTGAAGCCAGCAACAGCGACAGTGAGGTTGACAGCACTGATCCCAGTCCTGTGCCCTCACCAGGTCAGAAGAAGGTCAGTGAGGTGAGTTACGGAAATAACACTGAGCATTCGGTGTCCTCTTGTCCAAGCGCTCTAAATTCAGCTAGTGCTTTATGATACTTAACATACCTGACTTGGTGTGTAAGCCATTATACACATATTTTCGCCAAATGTTCAAAACTGCTCATCAGTCAGAGATCCCTCTGCACATACTTGCTCAAAAAGGATGTTTTTTGGGCATTTTTGTTTCCTATACAAAATCATCTCAAAAACCTAAAATGATCTTCTTATTGCACTCTGTTTATACAGAGCTTTGAAAAAATTTTTTTCGTTTTTCTTTTTTTTTTTCTAAACTCTCAACTGCAGTGGCTCTCCATATCTTGGCATGCCCACAAAGAGACATCATCTATAGTTCAGTATCTGCTGAATCTTTTAATGTCTCACTGTCATCTAAAACACATTAAACATATAAGAATTCAGGTTCAAACTGATAATACACCACGTAAATCTAAAACTGCAATATTTTACATCAAAATGGTCAAAAGTCAAGACTGACATGGCTGAAAACTGCAGCTTGACTTGTTCAGGTTGTCATCTGACTGTTTGTTTTTTAATCATGAAAAGCATATTTTTTTATACGCTCTCGCTTTAGGACCTCTCAAAGACGTTGCTCCTGTACACAGTTCCTGCTGTGCAAGGTTTTTTCCGCTCCATTTCCCTGTCCAGAGGAAATAACTTGCAGGACACGCTTAGGTGAGTTGTGTCCGACTGTAACACACACACACACACTGGACAAGTAGCCCAAAGAGCACCCATATGTGCTATGTGAGTACAGGAGGCCCTCTAGTGGCTGACTGTGATTGATTCACAATGGTCAAAAAGGAAAAGAGAGTCTAGTTTTATTTTGTTTTCTACTGCTCAGGGTTTTGACTCTGTGGTTTGATTATGGTCATTGGCCCGAAGTGAATGAAGCTCTGGTGGAAGGCATCAAGACCATTCAAATAGACACCTGGCTGCAGGTAATATATGTAGAGATACAAATTTAAAGAGGCTTTAGCCTAGAAATAAAATCATATGAAAAATCTTTTTTTGGGTGGGAGAAAAGGCTGATTTGAGTGCATACTTATAGTGCAATGTTTTTATATTTGCAGGTCATCCCGCAGCTTATAGCTCGAATCGACACCCCTCGAGCCCTGGTGGGCCGTCTGATCCACCAGCTGCTAACCGACATTGGACGATATCATCCCCAGGTAAGTCTGCTTATTCTACTGGAGGCTACATTTTAGAACACAGAACAGCCACACAGCCACATTTCTTTTATGAAAAGTTAAAAGCTGTACCCTCAGTGATCAGCAGTTGTTCTGTGTTCACATGCAGGCTTTGATCTACCCACTGACTGTGGCTTCAAAGTCCACCACTACCGCCCGCCACAATGCTGCCAACAAGATCCTGAAGAACATGTGTGAACACTGCAACACCTTAGTTCAGCAAGCTATGATGGTAAAACATTTCTGTTGCACTACTGAATTAAAACATCTTTATAAATTGCATAGTAAAAAGTTGTGGGTTTGTTCCATTGGGTTAAATGTGAACTTTATAGTCTAGTGGTCTAAACATTTGGCTAACAAGTGGATGATCCCTGGTTTGAACCCGGGAGAAGACACAAGGTTTTTATGGGGTTGCGTAAAGACATCCAGCATTTAAATAAATCAATTAAGACTAAACCTGCCAAGTCAAACAGAGCTAACTGCTGTGGCGATTCCATATTAATGAGGGAGCAGAGCTGACAGTAGCTTCTTCTTTATATATATAATTAACAAAATATTTAATTTCCAAACATGAGTTATAGAAATGTAGATAAGGTTTTCTGGTTCTTGTTATGACTTGTTATATCATTTAAAATTAAATGGGAAAGGCTAATTAGCAGCAGAGGAGGAAATTCAGCCTTTTTTGTTGTGATTGTGAACATTTCTAATCGTAATTGAATTGTAATGTACATCACCCTGTAAAAGGAAAAAGCTTGATGAAGGTGAACTTTGCATTTCCTTTTTTCTTTAAAATATTTGCAATTTATATTTTCTGTATAAAACAATTTTAAATTGTCCAGATTTTACCTGTGAAAACAGGTCCTCATTATGCTACAGACTGACCTTTCCCTTTCGTTTTCCTTCATCCAGGTGAGTGAGGAGCTCATCCGAGTGGCCATCTTGTGGCATGAGATGTGGCACGAGGGCCTTGAAGAGGCATCACGTCTGTACTTCGGTGAGCGCAACGTCAAGGGCATGTTTGCTGTACTGGAACCCCTACATGCCATGATGGAGAGGGGACCACAGACCCTCAAAGAGACCTCTTTCAATCAGGTTTGAATCTTCTCGGTTTGATTTGTTGTCGCGGTGCAAGCAATGACGACAGGGACTGGAAACAGTACTCAAGCATGTGTGCACTAGCTTCTGATTCTGTTCCTAAATGTAAATGATGACTTTCACATTATTTTGTTACATTTCTGTCAAAAAAGGCTTAAAGATTAATGATTAAACATTCTATCCATGCTTCATCTAAACTGTTGAAAACAAAACGTGTTCTGATATGGAGGCTGGGAGATAGAAAATTGAAGTTAAATCATTCTACCTTATAGAGGGGCCTTGGTGGCCTGTGCATATTATATATATACTTTTTATTTGGAGCCTCATCAGCAACAGCAGTGGTAGAAATATTTCCAAGCTTCCACAAATCTAAAATGTATACCATCCCGCACAATATAAATTTATCATAAGCCAAATTAAAAATTTAATAGCTTTCAGGAGAGAAAAGAAATTGGACATAAAAAGAAAACACTTGTGTTTCTCTTACTTCATGCTACAGGCTTATGGGAGGGACCTGATGGAGGCACAAGACTGGTGCAGGAAGTACATGCGCTCTGGAAACGTTAAAGACCTGACTCAGGCCTGGGACCTCTACTACCACGTGTTCAGACGCATCTCCAAGCAGCTGCCACAGGTGATTGAAAATATGAAGCCTACAGTCAGTTACACTACCTTTTTTGTTAATAATATATAAATCACCATCCTAATGATCACTGCAGTGTGCCTCATGTAGTAATATTCAACAGTATATGCAGTGTATGTACAGTATTAGCATTTTTGTACTGTGTCATATGGTACGTCAGAGTACGTCTTTTGTGCCTCCTGGAAAAATCTGAGCTGACATCTCACCACGTCTGTGTCCATTCCAGTGTTTCATCAGATTATAGATTTTGCATTTCATGCCCTGACTCATTCTTTGATCTTAAAATGGTAAATGTCTCTTAGTCGTGTAATATGACATAAAAGACTAATGGCTACTGTGTGTTTTTTGCCAGCATACCAACATTAGAAACAACACTGAATGGGAGCTAATGATAGCGACTTCTTTCATTCCCCCATTTCTGTTTAAAGTCATTGAGCAGGAAGAAAAAAACTAATGTTGCAAGATGTTGAAAGATGGCAGGATGGTGATGAGAGTGATGATGTAGGAAGAGGAATGGCACAGCATCAGTGGATAGCATTGCTCATTTTATTGTCACGCCCTCAGGCGCCACTCTGTCTATTAAATTATGGCATAATATCCTAATGTAAAATTTCACAAGAGGCAGAATATTTTTCGAGATATATTTTACAAGTTGTAGGTAGTTTATTTTCTGTGGTCAATTGTTTGGTTTTAACTATCAGCATCTGTCAGATTGTTGTAGCCACTTTGGTACAACATAATGGGTAGATGCTTCAATAGAAAGCAGGGCTTGTTGCTATAGGAGAAGAGATGAAATTGAATTGATAGAAGCCATTCCTAGCAGCTATCATCACATTGTTGAAGAGTGACATTAAAAATAGTTCTGTCAGCAGCTTGTACTGCACATAATAAATGAAGATGGCGATGCTATTTGACACTGTAGCATGGCCCCGCTCTCAAGGATGCACCCTGCTGTGACATTACAGTACGCAGCATGAAATACACTGCAGCATTACGACATGCTGGGAGCAGTGCAAATATTCCCCCACAGGGCATTAACATAGAGATAAACCCTTCCCAGAATGCATCCAAACGGCAGTTCCAGCGCAGGGCGGGACAGTAACCATACATCAGCATTCAGAAATGAACCATAAAGGCCTTTAAATAGTGTGCCACATTCAGCAGTGTAGTGTTGATGCAGTGTAAATGACTGATGGTTGCAGACAAGCAGCAAATGCATTAAGAAAGTGAAATGTTCCAGATGATTTATAAAAAGCTGCGTATAAACAAGTTTCTCTGGATAAAGCCTTTTAACTTGGATATGAGCCAGTGTCTGCTACAATATGCATATTGCTTTAGGCACTGTTGGCTTGGCAGGCGCTGCTTTGTCAGTGAAGTTTTTGTACACAAGACTTAAAACTAATTGTCTCTTCCTGTGCTACACCCCCACCTCATCAACTTTCCTCACAGCTGACCTCCCTGGAGCTCCAATATGTTTCTCCGAAGCTGCTGATGTGTCGAGACCTGGAGCTTGCTGTACCCGGCACTTATGACCCCAACCAGCCTATCATTCGCATCCAGTCCATCGCCCCCTCCCTGCAGGTCATCACCTCCAAGCAGCGCCCACGCAAACTCACTATCATGGGTAAGATTAGGAGAAAATTGCACAGCCCTTGTGGCTCTGAACCCATTATATTAGGAAAATGGATTAAAGAATATTTCTAGTCATATGCTTTCAGCAGGCATGGGCCATCACATTAGAGAAAATTCAATATTAATCGAATCCAACAATAAACAGCTCCAAGGGCACAGTTTATTTTGAATTCATCGGTCATGGCATGTGGTGTGGCTAGAATATGACCGTAGAAAACGTTCATACCACCAGAAGCAAGATCAAACAAGTGATAAGCAAATATGAATTCCACTCACCACACGTGGACCAGACTCGATGGTTATTTAACTTTCTACCAAAAGTCTCTTCCGATTGAACATACGGGGACACACCACGGTTTGTCGCAAACCCTCCCAACACTGTTCTTTGTTATTAAATTGAATACTGAAATAAATAACTTTGACATGCTTCCCTCTGCTCCGTTGTGTGATATGAAATATGACAGCGAAGTGCTTCTAAAATGGCAAAGCACTGTAATATCACATTGTCTTGAAGCCAAATCCACACATTATCAATCATAAACTGTTCACTCTGCTTCACACATTTTATGCCCCTGTACCAGCGCCAGCCGTGACCGGAGGCAATATGTTTTTGGGTTGTCCTACCCCACTGTCGGTAAATCTGATTGTCACGATATCTTAGGGATTCATTGCCCTTCAGGGACATTTTGCCACAAACATCCACTAGGTCTCGGTGGACTGAATTAATAAGCTATATTATAAGATATAATAATAATAATAATAATAATACGCGTCTAATAAGTCAAAAATGCTAAATTGATAAGATAATGTAGGCAAAAGGTCAAAGTTTGACTTCAGTGTGACGACATAATTTTCTGCAAAAGAAACTTTTCTGGCCGTTATTCAACACCATACCTCAGAAGCACAAGGGGAGATTGTGACCATATTTCACGTGTAGTCGGATATTGAATTGGTGACACTGAGGTGCGGTTTCCACCTTGAAACTACAGTGATAGATTTTTTTTTTTTTGTGCTGCAGGGCTGATAGTGTGTGTGAAGCATACATGATTTAGAATTTGTAGCGCAGGGCGACATCCCTGTTTGAACCGTCATCACAGGACTTTGTGTTTCTTCAGAATCGGCGTTATTGACCAAGTTTAATTCTTTCAAAGTCTGCACAGACAGCTGCAGCTTTACTGCTGGGGAGAGGTTACAACTGCAAGGCGGTAATTCTACTTCTCTGGACATTGCTGCACTTTTTTCTGATGTATTCCATCAGTGTTATATAAGACACTCTGTAAAAGATGATGGCTAATAAATCAACTGACCTCTGGAGCAAGACTTCAGATTAAGACCTGTCAGCCACTGCAGGCAACCTAGATTTACTTTCGATGCTCCTTCTTCTGGTACAATGTACTTACTTACTTGGGATAGAACAGGGGCATTATTTTCCACTGGAAGCTTCAGTTTACTCCATTAAAGGTAGCACAGTGTTGGTGAAATAGTGGAGCAATTAGATAAGTGTCATCGTCTGTAATTCAGATAAGTGAAATATGTTTTCCTGTCTGTCATGCTGAAAACTTCATTCTGCTCAAGAGGACTGAGTCAATTTTATAGTTCATCCAGCAGCTATTAACATACTGAAAGTATCATGGTACTTCATAAGCATCATAGGCTTTATTTATGTAGAGTCTTTTTAAATCCTTTATTGCATATCTGCTGTTTATTTGGTCAAAATGATTCGCGTCCTGATGCTAATAGTCAGTTGTGAATCCTTTTTGCTGGAATTTGTTGTGGTTTTCAACAAGTCCCTCACACATCTGCTGAGCAATTATACGATGGGATTGCTCCTCCAGATTTGATGGTCTTCTGGCATGGACCTTGGTCTTTAGTTCACTCCACAGATTTTCAAAGGGATTCAAGTCAGGGCTTTTTGCAGGCCAGACAGTAACAGTCACTCTGATATCCCGGAGGTAGTTCTTCACCACGAGCAACGTATGTTTTAGATCGTGGTTTTAAAACAAGTATGACCACGTGAGTCCTCAAAAGTTGCACATAAATCATTTTGCATGTTAGGAAAGGCCTGTGGATGTTATCGTAGGCATTTGGAACCCTTTTGAGGTAAATCTCTCTCCATAACTTCAAACCTCTGCCAGTCTTGTTCTGTACTGTTAGGCTCACTTTAAAATTCTTGACGATACTTCTCACTCCAGTTCTTGACACTTTGGAAACACTTTGATAACTTTGTGTATCCATCTCCTGCTTTGTGAGCATCAACAAATCTTTTTCTCAAGCCTAAACTGATTTCTTTAGTTCGTGGCATGATGATTTCTGAAGTGACAGCTCAAACACTCGCCGAAGTTTTTATACTGTGTGTAAATTGGAAGATAAACCTCAGTTTAAGCTTAATTTTACAAACTTTTAGCATTGCAAAGTTAAAACACCTAATTGCACAGCAGTACTTTGTGCTGTGTCTCAGGGTAAAGGTCAGTATAGAAAACTAGTATATTTAGAAATCCCGTGTTGAAAATTTCTCGCTCTGTTGAAAAGCACTTGGGGAATTTTTGACAAAGCTTCAAATGTCATGGGGGGTGAGCTGATAATTTTGTTCTCATTTGTTCTCATACTCAGAGGAGTATGAGTTGACCCTGGCAAAAATACCGAGCACTGCCATTTCCAACCATTAAGAGTTTATTTATGCATTTCTTTCCATTGTTCAAGCAGTCCATCATTGTTGTATTTTATTGCCCCATCTGCAGGTAGTAATGGCCACGAATTCATGTTCCTGTTGAAGGGCCATGAGGACTTGAGGCAGGATGAGAGAGTCATGCAGCTGTTCGGTCTGGTTAACACGCTTCTGGCAAACGACCCTGCGTCCTTGCGCAAGAACCTCAGGTAGACACACACTCTGGCATCACCACACACGCACAAATTCCAAGAGACAGTTGTGTTTTACTCACCTCGCACATACCTGACAAAGTTGTTTGTGCTCATCCCGGCTGTGTGTTGTGTTCATCAGCATTCAGCGCTACGCAGTGATCCCCCTGTCCACCAACTCGGGCCTGATTGGCTGGGTGCCCCACTGTGACACCCTGCATGCCCTCATCAGAGACTACAGAGAGAAGAAAAAGATTTTGCTCAACATTGAACATCGCATCATGCTCAGGGTGAGGAACTGCTTCTATTTCCACTGTCTGAATAAGTGACAACAGTTTCAGGATGTTTTCTCTCCAACTGTGTGCTTATTTACGTTGTTTGATCCCATTAGTTACTTTTTCAGCCAGTTAGCTTCCTTTGGAACTTCAGCATGTCACAAAAAACACATTCACACGATGAATTAACTTCCTGTCTTACTAAATACATTTTAATGTGTTATTGGCTGAACGTACTCACATGTTGTTTATGTTTTGTGCCAACAAGCTGGTCCCACTCGTTTATGAAATTGTCATTTTCATATAAAACTACACACTAAATAGATTCATCAGAGCTGAGGAAGCATCTGTTTCCAGTGATTATATTGATGAATACCAATCACTCTTTGTGAAAACACATTTACAGATTTTTAATTGTCACAAATTAACTGCAGATCCCCCCCGGAATTCCTAATTAGTCAAAGGAGAACAACAAAATGAATAATTTTCTTTGCTAAAACATCACTGCAGAAAGTAAAAGCTCTTGACCCAATACCAGGATCAGGGGGGAAGGTCAGTGGTTTGATGCCTGGCTCCTTCAGTCTTCATGCCAAAATGTCGTTGGGGAAAAATCATGAAGGACAAACACTTCACTTCAGCTGTGTGTGAGTGTGTCTGTGATAGAAACAGCAAATGGGTGAATGTGGCTTATAGTGTGACGTTTACAAGGCCTTAAAACCAGAAAAAGATTTGCACAATTTGCCTCCAGTTTATGATTTTCAATCAGATTAATCTGACTTTTTTCCCTTTTAAACATATTAACAGCCTATCCTAGCTGCTCCTTGCAGGCCTCCAGTCTGTCGGTGGTCTGAATAAAAACAGTAAGAAACCAAATATCAGATATTGAAGAACAGCGGTTTATTTCCAAAAGTATTTGATTAACACTTGTAAATGTCTTTTCTTATACTGGTGAGCAGTTACATTTTGAACACAATCGAACACCATGGGGGTGACAACTCAAGTTTTATGAATATCTATGTTCTGTCGATCACCTGTGCTTCTTGCTAATTGTTTGAATTTGTAAATACTGAATAGCGAAAGACTTTCAACTCTCACTCCAGATGGCTCCAGACTACGACCACCTGACGCTGATGGAGAAGGTAGAGGTGTTTGAACATGCTGTCAATAACACAGCCGGAGACGACCTGGCCAAGCTCTTGTGGCTCAAGAGCCCCAGCTCTGAGGTAAAATGCTTCACTTTTTTACTCTGTCAGCAGTGCAGAGGAGGGGACTTGATCTTTTCACTGTCTATCTTTATGTATTCAGTGGTCCTTGGATAAAATGTCAAGAGAGTCTAATTATAGATCCAATAACTTCTTGAATTAACATCTCTTCCTCAATAAAATACCGCGTCACCTCAAAACTGGTCTTCCTTTGGGAAAGGTTTTCATTGGATGCAGACCAAGCAAAGTAGGTCTTTGTAGTTTCTCATTTTTCTGATTACTGCGGGGGATACAGGTGTAGTGAAATAAAATTGTTGTTTTCCCTAAAGAATGGGTTTTCTGGGTTATCTGTCCTACTTTTAAAGCACTGACTCTGCAGGATTTCATTAAGAGACCATCAAATTGAATCAGTTTTAGTACCCCGTGTACCTGATGCTCCATGTGTTTAAGTGTCTGAAAAGATGTGTTCAGCAGCCTGCCAGAGATTTCTGTTTCATTTCCCACAATATTTTTTTATTATGACCTAGAGGAGCACTCAGAACACAAATGTTATTTCTCCTACAGGTGTGGTTCGACAGGAGGACGAACTACACTCGATCCCTGGCTGTGATGTCTATGGTGGGCTACATCCTCGGACTGGGTGACAGGTGAGCTTCTCGAACAAAACACTAAAAACCCTATATTAATGTAAAAAAGTGTTAGAATGGCCACAAAGAAAATGGTAAAACATTATTGAGGAGATGATGTTTCTGTTCTCTAGGCATCCATCCAATTTGATGTTAGACCGGTTAAGCGGCAAGATCCTACACATCGACTTTGGAGACTGTTTTGAGGTGGGAGGAGATTTGTATTAAATATATTACAAACTTTTCTGATATATATATGTTTTGTTAAACTTACCCTCGTATACATTTCTAACAGGTGGCCATGACCAGAGAAAAGTTCCCTGAAAAGATTCCCTTCCGACTGACTAGGATGCTAACCAATGCTATGGAGGTATATGACTATGCTGGCGTGTGACAAACTCTATGAAGTGTGTTAAAGTGTGCTCACGGTAACACCATGTGTGGTCATGAGTCATTCAAGATGATAGGTAGTTCAATACATAATATTGTGAAGAAAGTTCATTTTCCAGGTGCTACAGATTGGCATTTCTTGTGCCTGGTGTCATGGAGATATTTGCTCAACAGTACAGAGCAGCATCACCCCTGCTCTTACCTTTTCCTTGTCATTTGTTCGCACAGGCGGATATTAATAAAGCTGGTTAAGTATCTCTCCTGCTCGCAGAGGAACGACCACAAAAAATGTAATTCTGTATTTGTGGTAAATTTTAGCCACAGACCGTGTTGGCCTGGTGCTGCTGTTTTGTCCATTATCACGGTTAGGTCAGGTCATTGATTACATTCTCAGTTTGAATTTAGGATCATGATGCTCGTTCGTTTCACTTAGCAACATCCAGCTTTATACTAGCTTCATTGTGGCTAGGGGTTTGAAAGCAGTCGTGATGCAAAATCATGTAGTTGACTTAAACACAAAGACTTAAACTTGAGAGCCAAGAGAATTGGCTTTGGTCAGCTGATCAAAGCTTTTGTGGGCACAAAGAAAAATCTGCCGGAGCTCACAGTTCAAATCAATGTCAGAGTTATTTTAAGGCAAGTCATTTTTCTCTGCTGCACCGCTATGGCTGATCTTAGGGTTTCCCCACCTGCCAAATCCCTCTTTCACTCCTCCCTATGGTCTAGCTTAAAGCAGTTATAGTCCCGTTTAATTAGGTTAGACAGTCGGAGACTCTGCAACAGAAAAGTCTTTCTAGTACATTCATTTTATTCTGGCGTCAAAGGCCCCCACCCTTAAACACGACAAGTATTCCTCTACTGAAGTGAATCCTGCCTGAGCTGCTTCTTCTTTGTCTTCTTTATTTCATTCCAAATAATAATTAGTCTTCTGTGACTGTGCAGAGTTTTATCAGAAGCTGTGACTCACTGTGCCTTGAATTTAATGAGCAAAGGAAGAAAAGGAATTAAAAATGAAAGCATCAAGAAATAAAATTCTGCATTGTAAGAGGTTTAAGTTTTGCCTTTTAAGCTACTGCAAAAGTTTTTTGGACGTTGGGGTTTTTTTTGTTTTGTTTTTTTTGTTTGTTTTTTGACATATGAAATCTTCTTAAAACATATTTTCAGCCTTCTAAATACAAACAGAGAGGCTGTTCTACTACTAAACTCATAAACAATGATCCAATCTAAGTATACTGATATTTCTGTAACGTGCACACGCAGAATGGAAACCTAATTCCCAAATGTCATGTGCGTCAGGTGACGGGCTTGGATGGTAACTACAGGATCACGTGCCACACAGTGATGGAGGTGCTGAGGGAGCACCGGGACAGCGTCATGGCTGTGCTGGAGGCCTTCGTCTACGACCCGCTGCTCAACTGGAGGCTTATGGACAGTAAGGAAATGCCAGCTGTTTAAATTGAGTACAGATGTTAGATCAACATATTACAGCCTCACATAACCACAGCAGCTTACCAGCTCAGACTGGTAACAGTTTGGTTAAAGTCAGAGCAGATTACACTTGTTCAAGCTGAAAGACTTCTTTTTGTGGCGGTGAAGAGTGGGGAGCGTTAAATCTACTCGCATCAAGCTGAACTGGACTTCTGCTTAGCTTGTGTTTTCGAGAGAAACGGTTAATGAAGTGCTTCAGACATCTAAAGGTCGCTGGTTAAACTCAAGTGTACACAGTGAATAAATCTCTGTGGCACCTTCTCTACTAATACTGTTATGGTTGCCTTTAGCAAGACATTTAATCAAAAAAAAGTGGAATATGTCACTTTGATTATAAAGGAGTTCAGCATTTTGGGGTTGGTATGTTTAAGAAATAAGAAGCAGCCAGGGATCTGTGCATAAAACCGCTTTCTCCTTACAGGGACTTACAGCTGCATTAGTTAAATGCTCATTAGTGTATTCTCTACAGTGTGTGTTACTATAGCCATTTACTAAATAGCCACCAGCGCAAACCGGACCCATTTAATGCGAAGGAGCAGGAAACATGACTTTCAGGTCACAGATGGGTAGAATAAATCTGGGGGGACAACATAAAGAGAGAGGTTTTTCCTATAATCTGACCACTTTTAATGAATAGTACACATAACTGTGGAAGAAACCCGAGTTTCTGTCTTTAAAGCAGTCAAAGAGGTGGTGATCCTTCCTGGTAAATGAGGCAAATGAAATATGCTACAGAGGAGTTTGTGTATGTTTTTAAATGCACACTTTTCCCGGGTCGCCCACAGCAAACACAAAAGGAACCAAACGCTCCCGCACCAGGACCGACTCGTACACCGCCGGGCAGTCAGTGGGTCAGTTTCCAACACAAGCTGTAACCTTAACTATGTTTCATTTTCTATTTAATAAAGGAAAAAAAAATAATTTTAATCTCTGACTATGTGGCGTCATCTACAGAGGCTCTTGAGGGAATTGACCTTGGAGAGACCACGCACAAGAAAGCAGGGACCACTGTGCCCGAGTCGATTCACTCCTTCAGTGAGTTACCTGCTTATTCAGACTTAAGTGATTTTATTTTGTTGTATTACAGCTTTTTAGGTCTGCTCTGCTTAATGTGCCATCAAAATACTGAGCACTTCCTGTCATAATGATCGCTGCAAGTCACTGCGCTATGGTAAGGCAGGACACAAATCTGCTTTGATTTCCTTTAGCTGCGAACAGGTTCGGTATAGACAGCATCATTTGTTTTTTAAAGCTGCCAATAGTTGTTGATGCTAGTATTTGTGTGTGTGTGTGTTTTTAGTTGGAGATGGCTTGGTACAACCTGAGGCACTCAACAAGAAGGCTATTCAGATTATTAACAGAGTGCGAGACAAACTTACGGGTAAGTGGGACATTTTTACTGCACATTTCACTCTCCTGTCTATAAAGTACCCTCTTTTTTGAAATAAGTAAATGATAAAGATTTATGAATACTATTTTTAATTTAAACACATTAGACATAATACTTAAAGTTAAATTTCTTGGATAAGCAGGGACTTACAGTCCATCAGCATCCTCCTGAAACCAAACCAGTCCCAAGTCCCTCGCATACATTTCCAATTTAATGTCTGATCAAAAATGAGCTCAGCAGAGCTTTAATAACAAAAGGGAACATAACAGAGACGAGAGGTCTTTTCAGATCTTGCACTATCCTAAAAGCACCTTTGTGTTGTCTGAACAAAGTCGAGCCGTGTTTGCAGATTGATTTTGCCGGAGCAGATCTGTGACCAGAGTTTGTTCCCTATAGGTCGTGACTTCTCTAACGAAGAGACGCTGGATGTGCCGACACAAGTAGAGCTCCTCATCAAACAAGCCACCTCACATGAAAATCTGTGCCAGTGCTACATCGGATGGTCAGTATGCCTTGCATTTTCAGCTTCAGGGTTAGTCAGAGCAGTGTTGCCTGGCTGCAGGAATCCACCTTAAATCAAACTGAAGTCATGACTTTGAATGTGTGAAGATTGTAGCAGAAAAGTTATCTTGGGCAGTTTTAAATGCAATTACTGTGCCACAGGTTGATCTCTTTTTCTTTCTCTTCTTTTAATTTGACATTTTCTTTTCTCCTCCAAATGTTCAGGTGTCCCTTTTGGTGAAGAAGCGTTTCTTCCAGCCAGGATTTACCCTTGACTCTCTCGCACACTGATAGATGAAGTAGGAGCTCTCAGCTCAGATTGGTATCCACTGGAATGTGTCCTCAAGCCACACTGCAGAGCCTAAACAAAGTTTTTCCTCTTTTTTTCGTGTTTTGATTTCTTTGTTGTTGTATAATTGTATGGTTTGCCATTTACGTTTATTAGAAAGTACCTTTAGTGCTTTGTTTTTACCTGATCATCATAATTTACCAAATTTTGCAGTCATTGCTCATAATGACCTTGTAATTTGTAATTTTTACCATTATATTTACTCGCTAAATGCTTTCTACAGTGGCCATATTGTAATCACTAATGACTATTACTCCACATACTGCTTTCTTCTCATAAAGCCACCAGTCTGTTGTATCATTGTGTATGAATGTGACAAATTTCAGCAACATGATATGCCTTTTACTAACTTAAACATTCTTAAGGGGTTTCTGATGAGCAGAGATCAGTAAGAATTTGATTTCATTTGATTTGAGTGGACTGCGATGTACTGAGTGGGCATTCGTGTGCCATTAAACCCTGTATAGATACCACTGTGACTGTGCTGTGTTCATTGAACTGTACCGACTGCTCATGAAACTGAGATTGTCACACCTACAGCAGTTTAAAAATAGCTAGGGGTAAGGGCGTCCCGGTAGAGAGCGTGCCATGTATCAGCGCTGAGACGTATTGCAGAGTCTGGGGTTTGAATCCAGCTTTCCAGACACTTTGCTGCATGTGTTTTCCTCGCCTTTCCCTTTTCCTGCTATCAAGTAGAGCAGAAATGATGGGAAAATAGTATGTTCTGTCTCCAAATGAAAATGTGTCGTACATATTTATTTATTTATTTCAGAAGAGGTGCCACTGTCTTTGTTTTTCTAGCACCGACAGAGGGCACTCTGACTCCTAATAGGATCACTCCCCTCCATCTTCTTTAGGAGACAGGCTTTGGCAGAGGATTCACTCATCAGGCCGGAGAGGATAAGACCACACTAGATCCTTCCCTAAAACCAGAACAAAACAGGAAAAAAATACTAGGTTTCAAGCATGTGCTTTCAAATCGAGATTAGATTCCCCTTTTCTAAAAGCAGCCATTTTTTTTTTATCATCATTGTCTGAAGACCACAGGGAGACGCAGTCACTTGCAGCCAATGCAGTCTGACAGAAACAAAACCGAATCAGATGCTGCAAACTGCAGAGGCAGCACTGGAGACAACTATTAATTTGGTTTCCTGTGCTGTTATCTGGTGAGTGCAAGGTAGCTTCTGTTTTTTACTTCTGCTCATTGCTATTCCCCCTCTAATTTCTCCATTTATTTCTTCCCTGCATTCTCCTCTGAAGGTTAATTACTTATAGATAGTTAAGGATTACGGATCAACAGAAAGCAGCCCATTGATCTCTTCCCTGCCGTGCCCACCACTGCAATGTCACACTCTTTACACATTGGGACAAAAGCCTGGTGATTATCTGTTCGTATCGATCGATTCCTCCTCTGTTTTCCCTCGCTTCTTACTCTCCTTCGCTTCCTTCGCCTCCACTCTGTCACTTTGTTCCCTCCTGCTGCCAAAAGCTCATTATTGAAAATGTGACTTTTCATAGTCTGTGCCACCATTTCTGTTGTTCTTTCTCACCCGTCTAATTTGTTTGTATTTTTTTCAGCCTCTCAAGTCTGTTGAGAGGCAGCCGAGTCAATAGCTCAAGTTAAATAGGCTGCATTGATTGGGAGAGGGATTTAGCTGTTTACCAACTGTGGAAATGAGCTAGGGCTGTGGGGGGGGAAAAAAAAGACACCCGGCACAGGTGTCTGCAAGTCAATGGTGACAAATGATACTCATCGAGAGACAATGCCCCTAAATGAGGGAAGGTGAGAGGCTTGGCGGTAGAAGCTGCTGATGCTGGAGGCCACGCTCCATCAGCCTTTAAGGCTGTCACATGAAGCCGAAACAGGCCTGACACATTAGGAATGATGGGAAATGTAGCAATGCATTCGCTCCCCCTCTGGGACTCGAGCCTGTTCCCCCATCCTTGAGCATGTATTTCCTCGCAAGAGCTCCCCTGCAGGTGTTATTCCACATCCATGCATCCTCTTTAGCGTCTCATGACCCTTAGAGATTTCATAAGTGCTCTTCACAACTCTTGCTGTGGCTGGAGTGTAGTCACATACACCCAAGCATGCTCACAGCATAGAGCATGGGTGTTTCTCAGTGAAAGCTTCTAATTTGCTTTAATTTGCTAATATGCATGTAACAGCTCATGAATAAAACGCATTACAAGCCCAACTGTAAAACCTTGTTCTGTATCTGCAATGACATGAGTAACTAAAAATCTAAGCTGGAACATCACCTTACTCCAGTATTGCTTCTCTTTTTAAATTCTATATTTCTGCTTTCAGCAGTTAGCATCATTTTCTATGAGTGAGATTTAAGTTTGAAGAGAGGAAGGAGCGAAAACAAAGGAGCATGAATGCTTATGCAACCTTAATATTACAAATGTGTGTAACTCTACTTGTAGTGAATTGTAAACCTCGGCGAGTCTTGTTAAAATGGTCGATGCTCATCTGCAAAAATAACGAGGTGAGTGTCTGTGCGTAAACTCTGAGCCAAAAGCTCAAACTTCACACACAAACACACAATTTAGGACAGTTTTGTTTTTTTGTTGTTTTTTTTTTAACTTGTGGCTCTCTGTGATGTCAGAGAGAAGGGATATCCCTAATATGGTCATCTCCGACTTGCAGAAGCCCTACACACCTGATGTCCAAGCATGTTTGCAAAGGTCAGCCATGCAGAAGAAAGGTGGTACAACTTGAGGTACTGCTCCAAGCTCCAAGATAAGTAAGTATTATTTTAATCTGTGAATCATACAAAGTTTAGTCCTGTAGAGTCCTAAAATTAAAAATGTGCTCTAGTCTAAGAAGTTTGTTGTGAAACCACACATATGAGCTGATCTTAACATTCTCTTGTAAGACGGAGGGCTTTAGAAAACCCCAACAAATGAATTAAGTGAGAGCTGTGAAGTTAACTGGCTGAATGTGAGACGTGATTCATTTTCTCTTCAGGGATGGCAGGTGATGCGGGTCGAAGTGCAGGTTTTTGCTTCACGCCAGATCTAATTAAGGTGTCACGAAAATGTACAGCCCTTTTTTAAAGGTGTGTCAATCAGGTGTGAAAAAGCAGAGCTGGAGGAGAAACTTTCAGGACCTAAATCCAGTTAGAGTCCAGCACAAGGGAGCTGGCTGGATACCCTTTCTGACTGTACCACAAAGGAACGACACACTCCTGTGCCTCTCTGCAGTCATGAGAATGCTTTCTCACTCATACCACGCAAGCCCCCTGAACTCAAACACACTGCCATGGATAAAAGCTGCGAAGAGAGAGATGGAGACAGAAGCGATATTGACGGCCGACCAGAGCAGTTCAATAGCAGGCTCTGGAGTTGTTTAAAGTGGGAGCCTGGAGCTAGGACTCTGGCTGTCTTTGTGCACTGTGGTGTAAAGCCAGTATCGATGAACTTGACAGCAGTTTAGCCCGCCTGAGATCTGCTGCTCTCTAAGGACAATTCAGACACATTCTCCTGCCATCTTTAGCCTACTTTACCCAGCCCATTCATGTTCCTCAGAGCAGGGACCTTAAAAAATGTCAGTGGAAGGATTTTCTGTTTCTCTAATCATCTGTTTGTCGATTAGTAGCAGCAAAGAGTAGGGCGATTCAAACGGCACTGAAGTGGTCCACAAATCCAGCATCTGTGGCTTATTGGGATGAATTACTGAAAGAAAGTTAGGCGTGGAAAAAGATACATTTGTTGTTGTTACTGTAAACACAAATATAGAAAGCAGGCCAAGGAGAGGCAAGATGAAAAATTGGGCCAGTTTGGCTTTTTAAGCCTGCACTGCGCATTTTGCATGTCGGTGGCTCCAAATGGCACCGTGCAGTAGTTAACTATTTGAAAAATTACAAGTATAATGCCCAGCGACATCAGCAAATGGCACACAGTATGCTCATTTTTGTGTCGACCGACTCTGCTGGACTGTGATGCTTTTTAACAAAGGATGGAGGGGAACACTTCTAACTGGTGAGTACACCTTCCCCGTCCTCCTCCTTTAACCACTTACATCAGAACAAGGCAAACATGACACCAGAATTATAAGACTACACACTGCTCTACCTGCTTTTATTACTGGTAGAAATTACCTTTGCTGAAATAATAGTGAATTCATGCGCACAAAATGATGGTAGTACAGCTTTAAATCATGTTTCTTTGTCATTTTTCTACATATGAAGTTCCTTTTGGGTACATGCTGAGATGGAGATATGCAACATCTCATTCCATAAACAAAGCCTGATTTCTTACAGAGACCTTACCGTTAATTCTTTTCACCGTTGATCTTTTTTTTTTTGCTTGAAAATATCTGCAACGACAACTGTTGAGGTTTGTCTTTGGGGGATCGAGTTTATAAATTCAGCATTAGATTTATTTTCCATTACTGTTGTCTGCATGCCTCTCCAAGCCAGTCAAGGATGCAACCACATGTGTCCAGATTAATCCTGCACATGTAGTGAAGACTTTAAAGGAATTTAATAAAAAGTATTATTATTTCTATTTGGCAACAATGTTGATTCTGATAGGACACTGCACTCTGGCCACGACAGAGGAGGATGCTTTAACTATGGATGTTACTAGACAGCAGCCACAGTTTTTAAAACACGAGTGCTTTCAGATAGCGACACAATTACCACAAGCATCGGATCCAAGGTTAGTTTATATAATATGAAACAGGCTCACAGTGTCCTTCTAAAATCGCCTAAGTTATGATTATTATATAAGGTGCAGGGAGTATTATTGCAGGAAACTATAAATATCACAGTGAAGTTGACCTTTAACCTTTTGGAGATGCATTATATGGACAAAAGGATTAGGCCACCTACATGTTACACCTACAGGAGCTGCTGAGCTGTAGAAAGCTATGCCGTGAAGCTCCCGGCGTACAGATTTTGTGCCACAGGAGACTTGGAACACACTTATTCAGTTATCAAAGCATTTAATCGAGACCTACAGAAAAAAGACTTTTGCAAATACTCTCTCTAGCTCTAAAACTGCAGTTCTTAAATGCTTTAATAATGCAATTTACAGTTTATCAGAGAATATCTAGGATTAAAGAAGTCAGTGAGCTCTACTCTGACTCACTGTTTCACAAACCTTTGTGAAGATACATGCATGGCTTGTTTTTCTACACCTCTGGCAATGGGACTGAAAAAGACCTCAATTCAAAAATTAAGATTACATTTGATCGTAATGATAAATGAATTCTGGATTAATGGTCAAAATACCCGTCTAAGATAAATCTCAAGAATGTGACTGAGATTCATGAGAAGTGGACAGACAGACGGATCAGCGGATAACCCTAAAATATCTCCAGCGTAGTGTTGGTGATGTAATAAAAGCTTGAAAATCTACATACAGACTAGATCAGCTCGGTCCATTAGCTGTGCTGATGGTCTTGACTAGGGATGGGTATCGAAAACCGGTTCTTGTTGAGAACCGGTTTTCACTGTTTCAA